CCAGGTCCAACGACGGTCCCCGAGACTCCCGCTCCGCCAGGCCCAGCTCTCCCACTCTGCATACCGCGGCCGCCAGATCCCCAGGTCCACCGAGAATCCCCGAGACTCCCGTCCCTGTGAACATGACAGGACAGAAGTAAGACCACAGAACATGTTATACCAAAGCAGAGCATGGTGTTGGAGTCCAATATACATGGACATACCATGCCATCACACATCATCGTACAACACGTCATCACATAACAGGGCACACTATTGCATACCAAGACGTGATATTCCAAAACGGATATACACAACGTCACGTCACCCCTTGCACTGTAGCGTAGCCGTGCATCACATACCCTAACACGTTATCACATCATAGACCATGCCATACCGCGGAAAAGCATATCATGGCATGGCATATCATCACTTGCCCTATGTTCCTGAAAGATGAAACGTCGTACCATGACAGGACGCGACGTAGCGTACAACATGCGACCACTACACACAATCGGATAGCACACCATGACATACCATGGTATATCATGACTTAGCATAGCGCAACAACGCACACATGACACATCGTCTCCCATACTATAAGCGAGCAAACAAATGCATCGAATAGGGATGTCTACTCGAGCATGGCAAAGCATGTCCGCATATGGCATGCCATAATTATAGTACTGTCGCGACCACGGCAGCAACAACTGCACACAAACAACATTGACTGCTATATGTTAAAGGAGTGAAAGAAGGAACATGGTACAGCATCATAGCACATACGCGATATGGCGAACACGAACCAACCTGGGCAACATATCATTGCTGTACATGAGTGTTGTACTACTGCTACCACTACGGCCACGGATATGATATACCATACATCCGCAACCGTGCCGGTGGGCACGGAGTGGGCGTGCCCTCAGGTCCTTTGCCCAATCCTCTATGCCGCAGTCCTCACTCCTAGGAGTCTTTGACGGGCCTGGATCCCAGATTCTGAAATCTCCTGGGGTTTCCCGCAGTTCCCCAAGGGCTCCGGCGCAACTTCCCGCGTGACATTTCGGGCCCAGGAGAGCCCCAAGACCGGCCAAGAAGGCCCCGAGAGGCCCCCAAGATGGTCCAAGAGGACTCCGGGCCCCGAGGACACGAGATCGCACCAAGACGCCCAAGATAGCCCCAAGACAACCCAAGAGGCCTCCGAGACGCCCCAAGAGAGCCCAAAGAGTCTTCCCAAGAGGATTTCGAGAGGCCAAACTTAATGATTTTGTATGGGTTTTGCAGTGATTGTGGGGCCCTCGACTGTTCGAGCTCCCGACGCTCCATCATGGCCCAAGAGGCGCCCTGGACAAGCTCAAGACGGCCCAAAAGGCCCCAAGGAGGACGGCCAAAGAGGGCCTCAAGACGGCCCCAGAGGCGCCCAAGACGGCCCCGAGACAGCCCTAAGGAGGGTCCAAGAGGGTGAACAGGAACCAACAATCCGAGTCTTATGCCACGTAAGGCCCCCCAGGAGGTCCCAAGGCGGCCCGAAGAGGCCCCCGAGAGGCCAGCAGAGACCCCCAAGAGGCCCCGAAGACGCCTCAAGGAGCTCCGAATCGGCCCCCAAGAAGCCCTGAGAGGCCTTCCCCGACATCCCAACGAACATCCTGAAGGCCTGTGACCCACAACCTAGGCAAGATAGCTGGATGGGCCGAAGGCCATCCGATGCAAGAGGTATATCATAGCCTGGACAGTTCATAGCACAGCAACCGAATCTGATTTAGCGTGAAGCATCACATAGCAGGGCATACCATAAAGTGCCAGCATAATATAACAACTCATCGTATCACATAGCCGGGCATAAACATACACGTTGACATGATAGGGCGAATCACCACTCAGGAAGGACATCATGACATCATAGACCGTACCATCACATAATGAAGCGCGACGTGCACGCCGAGGTCAGGCTTGACACAGGAACAAATTGGCACATCCACGACCGTTTGGACGACGTGTTTAACGTGGTAGGCGTCACGACGTCACGCCGGCCCGTCCAGAGCACAACAGAGCATAATTCAGTTCAACATACTTGAATACGATATGACATAGCACAACTGAATACTGATCAATATAGCACCGGCGCTTGATGGCGCCAAGTCAAACGCAGCATCCACGCCAACGTAAGGCTGGCCACAAGACAAACACAGGCGCAACATCCACCGATTAGACGACATATCAAACGTGAGAGGCGTCACACTGTGACGCCAGCCTGTCAAGAGCAGACCATGACAAACCATATGTGCATAGACCTGAAAATAACCAAAGATAGAGTCACACATCAAGGTACTACGGAGACCGAGTAATGCCGTCTTCTCATACGCGGCATACGCGCCGACCCTTTGCTGGCCACAGAAACAAATAGTAGCAACAACGACTGATTAGACGACATGTCAGACGTGATAAGTATCAATACGTCACGATGGCCCGTCCAGAACCGAGCATAACATAACATAACGTCATTCACTACACAGGGACATCATCCAAGCGACCATGAAATAGCAACATATTTTAAACAACCACCAAGACACCGCGATTCACCAAACCAGCATCATGACGTAATCTACCGCACCATAACATAACCAAACGCGACGTGCGCGCCGAGGTCAGGCTGGTCACAGGAACAAGCAGGCGCAGCAACGATCGATTGGACAACACATCTAACGTGGCAAGCGTCAGGACGCGACGCCGGTCCGTCGAGAACACAACATAACATGATACAGCATAACGGTACGTAACATAATTGAGTAGTATTCGTAGCCCCCTGTCAACGTCAGCGTCCACGCCGACGTAAGGCTGGCCATTGGAGACAAACAGGCGCAGCAATGACCAATTAGACGACACGCCTCCCCGTCGAGCACAACACAAAACAAACCACATGTGCATAGAACATAATACAGCACAATATAACGTGATAGAGGATTTCCCAGCAGGGACCGAACAATGACGTCTTATCAAACGCGACATGCGCGCCGAGCCCAGGCTGGCCACAATACCAAACAATACCAGACTCGGGGACAAACACCAAACAAATCGGCGGGGAACGCTCGAACCAGAATGAGTAAAACGTTTTGGCCGAATCAAGAGCGAAAAGTGGAAACCGGAGGAAAAACGCCTAGAGCGTTTGTAAGGGCCCCACGCAATGGGAGAAGGCCCCTGGGGCCCCAAAAGCAGAGCGCCTCCCCGCCTACCTGCCTGGAATGAAAGAAAAATGTCCCGAGGGGAACGGGTCCTGGACCTTGGGGCATTTCCCAAGGACCATCTCTTCATCCTAAAGTGCTCTTTGAAAGCCCCAGGGTCTGCGGAGAGCCGCCAGAGCTCAAAAACTGCGAAACACCTGAGGACCCATTTCCCTCAGAACCCGTTTTCTGAGGACTCATGTCCCTCAGGATCCGTTCTTCATGGCGACCCACCGCACCGTGCCCCCTTCTGCGCGACGCCGGCGTCGCCCCGGGTGGGCACTTTGGCGCTCCGGGCCGAGAAGTGGGAGCTCTCCGGGGCGGTTGGCGGCTGAGTGCTCGCGCTGCGAGCAAGGCAGCATCTCGCTGCATTGTCAGACATCCCCTTCGACCGAGGAATGGCGGACGAGGTGATTCGCAATTCAGGGACCTCTGCTCTCTGGGAGAGGACTTGAACTGAGAGGCCCAGAACATTAGGGAGATGGGGTCCTCTCAGCAGATGTATCACGCCGAGCCACCAATATATAATCCATGATACAATGACGGGGACCTAAAATTGGCTATGTCTTCATTGTGTTCTTGGGATTCGGGCTCATTTTCCCCCCTATCTCCTAAGATGGGGCTCTTGTTATTGATTGCACGCCGCTGGACCTTCTCCTCTTTCTCCTTTCCTCTCCTCTTCCTCTTCTTCAATCTCATATTACGCAGATGCTCAAATCCCGCTCACTTGCACCCATCACGGGGTCCATCACAGACTCACTCTTCTGCAACGTATCCATCACATTTTTTTACTCTGCCTCACGTAGACTCAGCCACACCCCTTCCTCAGTCAAACTCACTCAGAGTAGGACTAACTCAGACTCAGTCGCGTCACTTCCCCACTCAGACTCAGAATCACTCAAACACAAACATTGTGAGGATGTCTCCAGCGAGGCGCCGGCTTCAGCACTCCCAAGGGGAGATTGCCAGGGGCGAGCGCACTCCAGGATTCGCGCCCAGATCGTGGAGATGTCTCAGGCGGTTTGCCTGTTGCTGGCCCCCCAAACATCCCTCTGCTTTTGAAACAACTTGTGAGGATGTCTCAGGCGAGGCGCTGGTTTCCACACTCCCACAAAAGGGGGCGCAAAGGGCGAACACGCTCCAGGATTCGGGTCAGATTGTGGTGATGGCAATGCGCCTGTTCTTGTCCCCCAACATCCTTTGCTCTTGGAACACATTCTGCGGATGCCTCAGGCGAGGCGCTGGCTTCCACACTCCCAAGGAGGGGAGGGACAGGAGGATGGAAGATGGGGGGGGGGGGTAGTGGGACGAGGAAAGGATGGGTGAGGAAGACGCGGAGAAGAAGGAGGAGAAGGGGAGGACGATGAGGGGAGGGAAGTGGGGGAAACGAGCATGATGAGGAGGAGGAGCGAAATCAGCAAGCAGAGGAGGAGGGGGGCAGGATAAAGAGAAGGAGGCAGAGGATGAGGAGAACACGAGCACAGAAGTGCGGAGTTCGTCCAGTCTATCTACTAGGCAGGGGGAGAAGGAAAACGAGAAGTATAAGACGTGGGGAGGAGAAGACTGCCAACAGCGTGGAGGAGGGGGAGGAGGGGAGGAGGTTGAGGAGAGAAGGGGAGAAGGGTAGGAGGTGCTCGAGGAGGTGGAGGAGGATGAGGCGGAGGAGGGCGGGTCTAGAGGGAAGGCAGCGAGGAGCGAGGGAGGGTACGAACTCAACCGGGGATGGAGGATCGTCCCCGAAGCGGCTGGGGGGGCAGTCTCGTCGGCGGCAGGCGCCAGGCGGCCGCGAGTCCGCACGACCGCTCAGACCTCGAGGCTCTTCTGCAGCGGGATGGTGGCCATGATGTCACCGAGCTCCTAGTGGCCGTGCCCTCGTCGCCGACGACGGCAGTCAAGTCAGTCCAGTCGGGCTGCCAGGCCAGACTTTGTGTGCATTCGATCTGTCCAGTAGGCTGTCCACTGGACTGTCTAGCGGACAGTCCAGACTGTCCAGAGGGCACCAGGTGGACCGTCAAGTGGACTGTCCAGTGGCCTGGGCCCGACTGTCCAATGCCCCAGTAAAAGCAGCTCTCTTTCCAGGGCAGGCACATCCAGCCGCCAGGCTTCTGCACAGAGAGCCCTGACCTCGCTTGGGCTGCCCCTGGGATTCTGACCAACCCGCTCTTCTCAGGCCCGCCCTTCCTAGCGCAAGAATGACGTCATGGTAAGACTGGCTCAGGATACGTTCCAGGATTTCAGAATCGATAGCGGCCCTCGTTTCTGCAGCCCGTCTGGAACACCAGGAACTCTCGGAATTCCTGGAAACCTTGGGAATATTGGAACATATCATTATCAACCTCTTGCTCCTCTGACTCCCGCCAATGGCCAAGGCTCCCATCTTTTGCTACCGACCCCCCCCTCGCGGCCGCCGCGCTCCTCGAACTTCTGGTCCATCGTGCGGGTAAACTGGCGGCCGCCGCTTCACCCTCCCTCCCCCTTGAGGGGCAACGAGGAGGGGGCTGGCACGAGGGGGGAACCATCGACCTGGAATCGGCGATACATCGCCGATAGACCGGCGATGGGCCCCGGATAGCGAAACCACACGGTCCTGGGCGGGGTGGGCTATCGGGCCCCTGTCGGGGATCAATGGGCGATTGGGGGTCGATGCGTGCGCCCTGATCCGATCCCCCCTCCGACGTTGCCACTGATCGCTCTCTCACCGCCTCGCCCTACCGACCCGCTGGGGCGAGGCGCGGCGGGGAGTGCCGCCAGAAAATCACGGCGGACGAGAGGGGGGCAGGGGAGCCCAGAATCGAATCGATAAGTCGGATCGGCGAGTGACATACATGGGAGCGGGGGAACTCGACAGCCAAACCTGTAGAGATCGGAACGGCAAAAATCGGCAACCTAATGAGGTCTGCACGGAGAAACGGAAATCTAAATCGACATCTAAAGTCGAAGCGAATCGGAATCGGAATCGATCGGAAACGAATCGAATGGGGGGGCAAGCGAATCAGCTGCACGTAATCAGGTTCTCGTCCCCGATGGTACCTTGACCATCCCGGGCCGAGAACAGCCCCCCGAGACCTGAACCGAAGGAGAAACGCCATGATGAAACGAAGCAGCCCGCCCGACATCTGGCGTAGGCCTCCAGAGCCTAGATGGTCGGCATGACTCGCCACGGCTTGGCGGCGAAGGCACGGGTCGGAAGCGGTCCTCTGGTTCGCCTCCTCCACCTCCACCTCTTACCTGGGGAGCTTCCCCGGAGGACACTGGACCTCATCCACCTCCGCAACACCTTGTTAGTTGCGACGACGACGGCGGCTCCGACGACGGAGACGGCGACGACGGCCGCAGCGACGATGACGGCGGCCGCGACGATCACGACGACGCCGCCGGCCGCCTTCTTGTGCTCCCACATCAGGGCGTAGACGTCGATGCTGCGCGCGGCGCCCTTGAGCCTCGCACGTGCAGGGGAGGGGACGGGGCGGAGGGGCGCGGGGGCAACCGCTGCTGCGCACATCCAGTTTCACAGGGTTCCGGAGGGAGGAGGAAGAGCAGGAAGAGGAGGAGGAGGCGGAGGAGGAGGAGAGCCGTCTTATCTCAGACATTTGCTTGAAGGGCGGCTCCCTTCCTGCCCTTGATAATCAGTTTGGATTCCCGCTTAGACGTGCCATTGTGATTGCTCCTCGACCCGACTGGGTGATGAGGCTGTCAGCTGCAGGGCGAGACGTACACCTGTCCGTGAGCCAGGCTCGGGAGTCAGGCAAGCCAAGGTCATAAGGTGGTTATCACCATATCTGGCGCGTCGACGGTGTGCCCTGTGCTGGCCGTCGCACGCCGCCGCGCTCCGCGCGCTCGTTGAGGCGATCATCGTGAAGCTTCCGACTTTTACTTCTGTAGACCGTGGGCATCTCCACGGCGATGGCACTAACCAGCCTCGAAGTTATCCCGATCCCCAGGATTGACAAGCCAAAAGACGATGAAAATCTTAGGGATTCACCTTCAAACACTGAGGGAATCCTTAAGATCGGCATTCAGATGAGGCGATGCCAATCATAGGGATAGGCATAGGTTCCAGGCTGCTGAGGCACATCCGTCGTTCAAATGTGGCTCTCACCACGTTCTGGGTGGGCCTCTGATCTTCCTGCTCGTGCGGTACTTTCGGTTCGTCCACATGATCCTGGCGGAGGTGGGGGTCCGGTCACCCGTGAAGCGGGACGTGGTTGCGGACAGTACAGCGCAGGGCATACGCCTCGGTATCAGCGCAGTGCCACAGCGAACGCCGAACAGCACGAGGACGACACCCCGTATGCCACCGAAGAAAAGGGCCCGATGCTGCTGTTTAGATCCAGATGCCCGTGATGGGTGCTGCATCCGCTCTCTCTACACTTCCGGACGAATCGCGCCAACTTCCAAACCAACTTCATACTTTGAGAGCTCGTCTAATGCCAGCGATGCCAGGCACAACCCTCTTGCACCTCAGTGGCGAGCTTCAGGAGCAGTCCTTGCCACCTCGCCCTTGCATGCCTTCGCACATCAATTCAAGTACTGGTCACGCGCTGATTCTAGCTGCTCGTCCAGTGGGCCGGACAGAGTCTAGCATTTTGCTCTTCCATCTTTCAGTCAGACACAATTCGAATACAAGCCCATTCGACACAATCTTGGATCGTTCCACACGCATTGCCCATGTAGAAGCGCATATTGGATGGTTCACGTTGCTGGTCGTGGCCCGAATTCCTGCGTGTCTGGCCCCTAGTTCGACCTTCGTGGGCTTTTGGTTTCAAGGACACACTGAGCACAAGGTCCTTCCACCTCTGCGGGCACTCCTCGTCTCTTCTTCTCTCTTCCTCATCTGCGGCCCCCCTCCTGGAGGGGATGCGAGGGCTTTGGATCGGTCCTCTCCCTGCGGTTTTTTGTTGCGGGGATCCTCGTCGCCGCTGTCTCCATCTTACTCTCAGTCGCCTCATTGCTAGATCAGGCTTCGCACATATGCCCTGCTGCAACGCACGACAGGAAGAACGAACGAACGACGAGAGGCCACTACATACATCACTCGTTAGCCAGATCTCTCGACTGACAAAACAAGCCTCAATCGGGAACCAGGGCCCCCACCAAAGAATCGGAGATTCAAAGCTGGTGCCCGAGCAGGGGCCGAGAAGCCAAGGGGGCCACGTCATAGAACAAACATGACGCCGCATGTCCGGGTTCCAACTATGACTAACTGACCCCCGACGTCCTGACTTTCTCCGCACGTGGCCCCTGGAGGTCTCGACCCATTCCCCGGGACCGGTTTTCACCCTGAGTCGTTGTTCAACGGCCCCGAGGCCCGACAAGGGCTCCGAGAGGCCGAAAATAGAGAAAAACCTCCCGTCGAGATTCTGTTCACGAGTCGAGGGGGTCTGGGCCATCATCCTCACCCTCCGTCCTCTTCAGTCCAGGTCGCCCAACTTCGCTAGCTTCGCGCTGCGCGAAATGCGTAGGGCGATCTTACCTTCGTGCCCTCTCCCCGCCCCCGTGGAGAAGAGCACGTAGTCAGCCCAGGCCTCGAAGCGCGACCCGCGGTCATCTTCGCGGCCCGTCGGGCGACTCAATTACAGTCAACCCATGTAGCAAGGATGCGCGCTCATTGGCGGTTGAGCGAGAGGGGGAAATGAGAAGGAGAAGGCCTTCTCGGAAGGCTCGGGAATCCCCCGGCCTTCTGAGAAATGTTCAGGCCTTCCCCGAAGACACGGACAACTCCTCGGAAGGCTGGCGGGCTTCTGAGAAGCCCCACTGCCTTCTGGGAAGGCCTTCTCCTTCTCGCTCCCCCCCCTCGCTCGCCGCCGAGGTAGGGAGGCAAGGGCCTCGGAAGGCCGTGTCGACACTCTGCGGCCGGCGCGCGGCCAGCAAAAGCGGCCAGGGATGGACCGAATGGGAAGGATGCAGGGGTAGCCCTGGAGAGCCGCTCACCCTCACAATGCGGGCTGACGGTGGCGAGTCCCCTTCATTTCGCATTCCTCACGAGCCCACATGCCCCTCCAACAACCTTTAAACGCACAAGGAATCCGCAGAAACTTTCTGGAACCTGCAGCCCCTCCTCCTCCCCCTCCTTCCAAAGCCTTCGACACCAATACTTTTGCTCACGTCGTGGGCCTCCGAGCTCTGGGCCCCATGCCCTGGGGCCACCTTTCGTTGCCAAGGGCCGCTTTAGATTGCCCAGGAGGCCTGGAACCGCTCCCCCCTAGCCCAGCAAGAAAAACCAAGTGCACGTCATGTTTTATTTCGCGACGCCTGGACGTCTGGGTTCACCTTGGCCCCCCCCCCTGCTCCTACATGTCGATCAATGTCTACCCCCCGACATGTCCAGGGATGCTATCTAACCAGAATGTCCATGGGAATCCAACCGAGGCGACGAGGCCCCATGGGAACTCTCCAGGAGGGCCCCCAGGTAACCGACCCAGATCCCAGTTCTCCAGGCGGCCGCGGCAAAATGAACCCCCGCTGCTAGGGCAGCCTAACTTCTACTGCGACCAGGCCGCAAGAACCAAACTGGCCGCGGGATGGGTGGAGCAAGGGAGCCCCTAAGCCAAGGGTTCTCTTCTGAGACCGCTTGGCGTTCGAGCTCGCTCGGGCTCCTGATGGGCAACCAAGTGGGATCAATGACGATATGCCGGCGGGGATCGAATCCGATCCGCCGCCGAATGGGCTCAATCCTTGGACCTTGTGGGAGGAGGAGTCGGCCTTCCTTCCCTTCCCGGTGTTCCCTGGCCCTTCCTCGCCCCTATTTTCTTTGAGGAGTTGTTCAGGGGGATGCCAGCCCGTCGAATTGTGGATTCCTTCGGAGGGGATTGCCAGCTGTACGTCTCCCCACAGGCTTTCTCGCCAGTATGCCGCTGTAGTATCGTCCAAAGTGCCGCGTGCTGGTGCTGTGTAGTCTCGAGGTGCAGGCTGTGTTGGCTCTGTCAGACGACTCATGTATCACATATCGTGGAAAAGATGGGGACAGACAGAGAGAGGGAGAGAGAGAGAGAGAGAGAGAGAAAGAGAGAGAGAGAGAGAGAAAGAGAGAGCGAGAGAGAAAGGGTAAGAGAGGAGGAGAGGGAGGAGGAGGAGAGGGAGGAGGAGACGGAGGAGGAGGAGGAGGAGGAGGAAGCGATGGAGAGAGAGGGAGAGAGGGAGGGAGAGGGGTTGGAGGTGGAGGAGGAGGTGGAGGATTGGAGGAGGCGGAGAAGGATGAAGTTGAGGAGGAGTAGGAGGAGGAGGAGGAGGAGGAGGAGGAGGATATGGGGGATGCTTGAGACGCCCCAGGTGGATAAGGGAACATAGAGGACGGCTTTCGACCCACTCGTACGCCGCCTCTGTCAAAAACGGGCCGTGGACGGAAAGTTATTCTCCAAGGTCTCTTTGTGAGCCCAGTCTGCGTCTGAATCATGCACCACCTCCTCTTCCTCCTCCTCCTCCTCCGCATCCGCAACTCCCACCAGCACATCGTCTTTATCATCCCTCCTCTCCTCATCTTCCTCTTCAGTTTCCTCCGATACTTTCTGCGAGATTGTCCTCCTCCTCCTCCTCCTCCGCCTCCTCCTGCTCCTCCTCATCTTCCCCACCACCCCTTCACCTCCACCTCCTCCTCCTTGTCCTCCTCCAGCCTCTTCTCCGCCCAACCCAGCACATCAGAACTGGCAAGTGGTATGAGAGAAGGATGGGCACATCCTCAAATAACACGTTCTCAGGTAACATGTGCGTGCGGACATACATTCTCGACGTCGGCGCTGCTCGCGGGAGGAGGGAGGAACACCAGGGTTCGGGGCCCCTACGTACTCCTACGTGGCACCAAATCTGGCCAAAATTGGTGCGTTTCCCCAAAACGCTGACCACGGCATCCCCTGCGTAATGCCAATCGGCCGAATTTCTGGTCCACACCCATATTGAAAATGCCTTTTTCCCGCCTCGCCCCCCATGGGGTCGCCTCAGGCACCCGTCCAGGAACTCCGTCACGCCGACCTCGCCCGTGTCGTACTAGCGGCGGCTCCGGGCAGCTCCGCCCCGCGCACCGTGACGCGCGCGCGGGGGTGATCGCGCGGGCGCGACTGCGGTGGGGGGTGCGCGTTTGCGAGGGGGAGGCAGCCATTTGTTAGATCGATCTCTCAAGGTCTCCGCTGCCTCAAGCGGTCAAGCGGTGTGCGTTCAGAGCAGGAGCGCAGCACTTTCACAGGAACGCGTAGCATTGTCAGTATAGCGCCGAACACGTGTCAAATGCTCTTGCGAGCAAGACCACAGCAAAGCCCAAGGACAGCGAGGCATTGACAATGTAGCTCAGTATCAACACCATGGCCGGGAAGCCCCCGCGACATCTCCACGAGCCCCCGCGACATGTCGAAAGGGACAATCGCGCCTTTTAACTTCCGGTCGGCTTTGGCGGATCTCTTTGCTACTTGCGGCCCTGGGGGTGCGGGGTGCTTTTTGGCAGCTGTGCCTCGCCGAGGGAGGTAGGTGTTGTTCCCGCCGAGCGGTCAGCCGAGGCCCTAACTATGGTATGGAAGCCAACCAGACGAGCGGGAGTTGGAAGTTTAGGAACTCAGCTGGTTCCGGCATTTTTGGGGCCTTGGGGAGCGCCTGGGAAGCCTTGTCGGAACGCCATCCAGGGAATGTCTGGGGTTGACTTGACGAAGGCGGCGGAGGTAAATATGGAGGATGACAAGAGCAAGCCCAAGGTGCATCAACGAAGCTGCAATAGACTCTCCGGTCCTGATTTCCCGCATGATACGTCCAAGCCTTCCATGGGCCTACAATTCAGGCGTGAGCCTCGCTTTGAGAATGAAAAGCCTGACATCGTTTAAGCGAGTAACAAGGGTTGTGAACGTATATGACTGTACACACCAAGTCAACGAAGTGCCATGCGAGATCCCGGATTTGACAAAAGACCGCCCGCAGTAGTGCGACTGCTTCACCATGTTACCCTTCTGGCCATGAACTTCGAAAGACACTCGAACTAGAACGCCCATTGTAGAAACGAGCTGCACTCCATCCGGGCAGCCGTTATCGCATTCATGTTCAACAGTCTGGCCTCAAATCCAAAGCAAAGGCCCATTTTGAAAAGAAGCCGTGCTCCGTCCTAGTAGCTGTTGCAAGCTTTTACGACACATGTTGCGCGGCGCAACAGCGAGAACCACATGTTGAAAAGAAGCCTCCCTCTATCCGCGCAGCTGTAGCCGACTCGGCAAACGAATCTTCGCGGCGCTACAGCGAGGTCCGCAATTAGAAAGCCACCCCGCCTCCACCCGCGAAGGTGTTGCCAACTGCAAAGACGAATGCCCTCGGCGATGAAACCATTACCACATTTCGAAAACGGCACCCCCACATGCCGACTAAATGTTACACGCCTTTCAGGCGAATCTGCTCGGCGCCAAAGCGATCACCACATTTTGAAAAGGGGCCGCCCTCCATCCGAGCAGCTGTTGCCAACTCGTCAAACAATTGTTCGCGGCGCTACGGTGTGAACCGCAATTAGAAAGCCGCCCCGCCTCCACCCGCGAAGGTGTTGCCAACATCAAGGATGATGAATTCCCCCATCGATGAAACCATAACCACAATTTGAAAACGGCCCCCCGCAACCCGTGTAAAGGTTGCTTGTTTTTTTTTTATCAAATCTGCGCGGTGCGAAAACGAGAACCCCTTGTTGGAAACACCCCCCCGGTCCGTGTGTAAATGTTGCTGGCTGATTGAAACGAATGTGCAGGGCGCTCAAGCGAGAGCCTCGTTTTGAAAACGCCCCACCGCCATCGGAGTAATTCTGGCAAGTCTCCAGGCTCAGGGTCATCCATGGTGAGGAAGTCCCAAGTGAAACGACGAGCCCGACCTGCCAACACGTCCCGGGGTGCGACAAGGAAGAATTATCCATGAATGTGTGTATACGTATTCCGCTATAGCATAGATGTGTGTAAGAACGGATGCAAGAGAACATACCTGAGGAGGAATGGATAAGGAAGAGGAGCAGCGGCTAGAGCAATAGGAACACGTGTATACCCCTAGAAACCCGCTAGAGCGCACCTGATCCCCCTACCCCCGCAAGCCCATCCCCTCCTTAGATCAAATATTCACTGCGTGGAGCTCCCCATATGTGCATCTACTCGCATGGACCTGTCCGCCGTGAATGTCTAGGCGCAAGAGCTTTCGAATATTAACGGGCTTCAGTTGTGACGGTCTGGACATCAATCTAACTGCGAATGAATTGGAGTGTGAATGAGCCTCAGTAGTACGAGCGCGTCTCTGTGCATGAGCCTGGGGCCTCCTGGGGCCTCCTGAAACCTACTGGGGCTTCCTGGGGTCTCCAGGAGCCTCTTGGGACCTCCTGGGACCTCCTAGGAAGGTTTCGTGCCCCAGGAGAGGCGCAATCTATAGCAACAGACGTACATAAAACATTGCGGATTAGAGCCACAGGAGAAGGGCAATCTATAGGAACACGCGTAAAACACCAAGGACTCGTGCCCCAGGAGAGGCCCAATACATAGGAACATGAGTAAAACATTTAGGATTGTGTACACAGGAGAAGGACCATCTATAGAAACATACGTAGAACATCAAAGAATCGTGCTCCAGTGAGGCCCAATCGATAGGAGCATACGTAAAACACATGGGATTGGAGCCACTCCTGTTGCCTTCTGAGGCCTCCTGCTCCTGGGGCCTGTCGGGGCCTCCTGTTGCCTTCCGAGGCCTCCTGGCGCTTCCTGTTGCCTCCTGGGGCCTCCTGTGGTTTCCTGAAGCCTTCTGGAGCTTCCTGGGGCCTCCTGGAGCCTCTTCCTGTAGCCTCTTGAGTCTTTCTGTGGCCTCCTGATGCCTCCTGGGACCTCATGTGGTCTCCTGGGGCCTCCTGGAGCCTGTTGGAGCCTCCTGTGGCATCCTGAGAAGAATCTGCGCCCACGAGCCTGGCCACCAAAACAAGCAAACCGATCGAGACATCCTCAAAATCTGGCCCACCTGGGGGGTGAAAATGAGCGCCTCGCTCGAGACATCCTCCAAATCTGCTCCGAAAGCGAAGGATGTTGGGCACAGAAACAGGCAAACCGCCTGAGACATCCCCACAAAATGGCCGCGAACGAGCCCGTGCAACCACCCCTGGCGGCTCCCCTTAGGGGTGCTGAAATGAGCGCCTCGCTCGAGACATCCTCCAAATCTGCTCCGAAAGCGAAGGATGTTGGGCACAGAAACAGGCAAACCGCCTGAGACATCCCCACAAAATGGCCGCGAACGAGCCCGTGCAACCACCCCTGGCGGCGGTGGTGCTGAAATGAGCGCCTCGCTCGAGACATCCTCCAAATCTGCTCCGAAAGCGAAGGATGTTGGGCACAGAAACAGGCAAACCGCCTGAGACATCCCCACAAAATGGCCGCGAACGAGCCCGTGCAACCACCCCTGGCGGCTCCCCTTAGGGGTGCTGAAGTGAGCGCCTCGCTCGAGACATCCTCCAAATCTGCTCCGAAAGCGGATGTTGGGCACAGAAACAGGCAAACCGCCTGAGACATCCCCACAAAATGGCCGCGAACGAGCCCGTGCAACCACCCCTGGCGGCTCCCCTTGTGTATGAGTAAGTCTGTGTATGAGTAAGTCTGTGTATGAGTAAGTCTGGGTATGAGTAGGTCCGTGTATGAGAAAGTCTGTGTATGTGTACGTCTGGGTATGAGTAAGTCTGAGTATGACTAATACTGTGTATGAGAAAGTCTGGGTATGAGTGAGTCTGTGTATGAGTACGGCTGGGTGTGAGTAAGTCTGTGTAGTCTGTGTATGAGTATGTCTGAGTGTGAGTAAGTCTGAGTATGAGTAGGTCTGAGTATGAGTAAGTCTGAGTATGAGTAAGTCTGTGTATGAGCAAGTCTGAGTATGAGTAAGCCCGACAGGAGGGGAGGAGAAAAGAGGAGGAGGAAGGAGGAGGAGTAGGAGGCGTCCAAGTAATAACAAGAACCCCATCTTAGGATATGGGGAACCAAGAAAAACAAGTGCATGTGCGTAACCTCTCGGATGTCCTCACGGAACTCCAGGGTCGGTGCTGGACCCCCTCCCAGCAACCCTGGCGACGCATCTTGCGCTGCTCGTCAGGGAAGGGGCGGGGGGAGGGTGGTCCAACGACGGCCAGAACACTCCGCACTGACAGCTTATCGTTTCTCTGCTCCACTTCTCTCTCTCTCTCTCTCCATTTCCCATCCTCCTCCTTCCTACCTTCCTACTCCTCCTCCTTCCTACCTCCTACTCCTGATGCCGTCGACGGTAGGACCGACCAGGGTCTCAAGGAAAATATTGCCGTGGCAACGATGCGCCCCCCCCAGGAGGTCCCCCGAAAAGCTTGGCGGAGGAGTCATCCAAATTATCCTGCGACTCCGCCAGATCCTTCTTCTCCTCCTCCTTGCCCTGCTGACTCCTGTCCCCCCTTTCTCCTCCCTCCTCTTCCCCCCCTTCGACTGTGACTATACATGTACTGTCACACTCCCGGCTATCGGTCGGGATCTTTTGGATAGCGTGTCGCTGTGGCGGCCCTGGCGACACACCATGCCTTGCGGGTGCATAGCGTGTCGCTCCGATCCGTTCCGCGGGGCGGTAGGTTCGGCAAGGCGGGGCGTGTGGGCCAGAACCAACGGTGCCACACGCTAACACGAAACTCCCAAACGCAATTTGCACCACGCGCTCTTCCGTGGACATCCGACCGACCGACCGGCATCCTCCCCCCAAACCCCCCTCCGCTGCCTCTTCACTCTCTCCTCCTACTGATGCTTCTCCCGCTCACCTGCCGCGCGCTTCCGCGCCTCCGCAGGGGGAGCAGTGGAAGAGGGAAGAGGAGGGGTTCAGGAGGACAAGGAGGAGGTCGAAGACGAGGAGGGTGCATGGGAGGGGGGACGGTGCAGTGGAGAGGATGGGGGGGGATGAGGGAGAAGAGGCCGAAGAGGACGAGGAGGAGGGGGGAGGAGGAGGAGGGAGAGGAGGACGAGTAGGATGAGGACGGGGGATGGGGGCGTAAGGAGCCCCTTCCTCTCCCTGCCTTGCACCAGGGCGGCGAAGGAGACCCCCCCGATCCTCGTCCAGCAGCGTGAACAGCCGCTGGGCGTCGGTGGCGTCCAGGCCAAGTGCCTGGGCGATCGACGATCGACGACGACGACGAAAACGACGACGACAACAGCGACGACGACCCTCCTGTCCCTCTTCCTCTTTCTCCTCCCTCCTCGTCGTCGTCCTCCTCCTCACTCTTGTCCATGACTTCCCCCGCCTCCTCCTCGTCATTCTCAAGATTCCTCTTCTTCTTCTCCTCCTCTCCTCCTCCCTCTCCTCCTCCTCCTCATCATCCTCTGGTCATGCGAAAAATCGTCATCTCGACAATCATTACGGCGTTGTCTGATATTATCCTCCCTTCTCCTCCTCCTCCTCCTCCTCCTCCTCCTCCTCTTCTGTCCTCGCGTCCGTCCCCCTCTCACCGTGCTGCCGTGATGCTTCCTCATCCTCCTTTTTGCGCATCTCCTCCGTCCGACCGTATCCCCCTCCCTCCTCTTCGGACGACCAATACCAGGCTAACGGGAGCAACGGCAGCGAGACAAACCCCGACGGCGCCGACGCCACCGACGACGAAGCCCCCGGGGCGAGAGCCTGGAAGTACGACTGCACCCGCGGGTCTGAGAAGAACGACGACACCTGCGCTCGGACGCACGAGGAGGGGGATAGGGCGGGGCGACGCGCTGGGCGGGGGAGGGAGGCGGAAATGGAGGAGGGGGGGAGGGCGGGAGGGCAGGGGAGGGAGGGCAGGGGAAGGAGGGCAGGGGAGTCATGGCAGGGGAGAGGAGAGGAGGGAGGGAGAGAGCGGGCTAAGAGAAGGGATGAGGGAGGGGAAGGAGTGAAAGCACTGGACACACAGTCACACACACGTATGTATGCATGTATATACATATATATATAAATACATATATACACATATCTATAGATATGCTTTCCCCAATGAGAGCTTGCCTCTGTAGGGGTTTCTCGCGGATTCATGTGGTTAGGTTAGCTGCGTCGCCAATTTCGGCGGCACGCCCGGGTGCCCGGGTGCCCAGGTGCCCGGGAGCTGCGTCGCCGATTTCGGCGGCCCGCCCGGGAGCCTTGGTGCCCCATAGCCCTATAGCACTATAGCCACATAGCCCTATAGCCGTATAGCCACATAGCCCTATAGCCGTGTAGCCCAATAGCCCTACAGCCCTGTAGCCCTATAGCCAGATAGCCTTATAGCCCTACAGCCCTATAGCCCTATAGCTCTATAGCCCTGTAGCCCTAAAGCCCTATAGCACGGCAGCCCTATAGACCTGTGGCCCTATAGTCCCATAGCCTCATAGCCAAATTGCCCTATAGCCCAAATCACCCTATAGCCCTATAGCCTTATAGCCTTATAGCCCTATAGCCCCTTAACCTATAGCTCTATATATGCCTATAGCCCTATAGCCCTATAGCCCTATAGACCTATAGCCCTATAGACCCATAGCCCTATGGTCCTATGGCCCTAGACATAATATGGTGTTGGCTCTTCCCCGGTATCATATGTATACGTCTACTTATGCACACACATACAAATCCACATATATCTATATATATATATATATATGATAACAACTGTAATCACACATACACGTAGACGTAACCATACATGCAAATATACATATGTACCTAAGGGCATAACTATACAATGCGAGAAGGAGTCGTTCCATCTGATCTTCCTCCTCCTCCTCGTCCTCCTCGTTCTTACTAGAATCGGAACCCTCTGTGACATGGGCGTTACAGCGACCTCTGCAACCTCCCGCCCTGTCCTGCCCAGAGCATGCCTGCTGCTCCAGCGACGCTATGGCACATCTCCCGTGGAGAAAACGGAGGGGCAGAAGGAACGTGGTAGACGAAGTGGGGTGGGGGGTCGCAACAAGGGTCTAGCGTTTCAGCTGCATGCGACGGAGTCTACCGGCACCAGGAGGCGCCAGGAGCATACACACGCATCGAACAAGGCGTAAGCGGAAACCAAACGCACGCAGCAGAGTTCGAATTCCAACCAGCCCTCTGGGCGGCAGTGGTTTACAGATCGCGCTTCCTCTTGAAACTCCCTTGTTCCCCTTCGGGGATGCGCCCCCCCTTCCACTACTGTGTTGCCCCTTCTGGGTCTCGACCAAGGGTTGGCCTGGGTTGGAGCGTCCAACGTGGCCCAAGATGGCCCAAATAAAGCCCAACATAACACCACATAGTCCCCAAGATGGCTCAATATAGCTCAACACGCGGCCCCCCAAGGATCCCCCAGGAAGCCAAACTTGAATCCAACAACTACTCGCCTCCAAAAGGCTTTTGGGGCTTCGAAATAATTCCAGACTTGCCAAGAGTGCTCCGATACGATCCCAGTAGCGTCCTAGTGTAAGAGGACCCCCTGGAAAATATGCGTCGGTCACCAGATGGGCGGCACGAATCGAGGACCCCTCTTTTATTATCGATGTCTTCCAAAAGGGCCCAAAAGGACCCCAAGATGACCCAAAGGAAGCCCCAACGGCCTCCAACATGGCCCCGGAAAATGCCAACGGCCAAAAGATGGCCCAACTCAGCTGCCAAGGTGCTCTCAGATCGAACGATCCGATAATGCATCTATAAGAGACTCCTGGTTCTGCTGAAGCAAATCCGCTTCGGTTTGACATCTACCCTCCCGCTTCGTTCCGCAGCTTGCTCCTTACACTTGCCTGATCCAGGGAATTCGCCGAAGCATCGTTGTTGGATGGGCTGGTGGGGATACTTTTTGGTACGCGGGCGCGCGAAGCTGGTCGAACGCCGTGCAAGCCAAGGCAAGCCGTGCCAGGCTGGTGGGGATACTTTGTTTCGTCGCAGCCGCAGGCGAAGGCGCCGGCGGCGTCAAAAGTAAACCCGGGCTACGGGCGAAGCCTAATTACCCAGGGGGCGCACTCACGGCTGCCGAGGCTGCCGCCGAAGGAGGCTGAGAGGCGTCGGGGGCTGAAGGCATGCTGCGAAAGCTGCCAGGAGAGCCAGGCGGCCAGCGTGCGGGAATCCCAGAGGCGAGACCACCGGGAAGAGGACGAATTGAACCTTGTCGCACCAGGCGCCAGAGGTATACGCGCCGCCGAACGTGGCGAAACGCGGGGCTGCGCAAGCAGTCCCGCGTGCTAGGCGGCAGGCCAACAAGGACGAGAAGGCTGAACCACTCCTGAGCAATCCAGTAGGGCTGCGTCCCACCATGCCGGCGGCAGCGGCAGACGCGGCTTGGCTGTGGCGGTGTCTGGAAACCAAAGAGTGGTGGGGATACGCGAAGAGTCAATACTTAAGGACATGTTCCTGCCATCCATTTCGGGCCCCCCGAAGAGCAAAGGAACTGAGGCTGCTGTTGTGCGCTGACTCCGCTTCGCCACGACAGGCTGGCCCCGATGCCCGCCTGTGTGGGAAGGGAGGCGAGCTCTGGAAAAACGATCGCGCCCACGGGACCTGGACGAACGGCGATGCCCGCGCTGGATGCGAGCAAGGAAGGTTCGCTGCGGCCGGGGCGCGCGGGGAAAAAGATGACATATACTTTCCACTCCAATCTTCTTGGTCGTGCGAAGGAGTCGCCTCCTCCATATGGATACCGTCCATCCGCTGTCCAAATACGCTTTGCCGCCAATGCTGCTGTAGAACTCATTGGTAGAAGTTCGGTGTTCGATTATTCTGCCAAGCGTATGGGTGGCACATCATCAAAGCCATATGCATCTGTTTCAGCGTCGTGGGTTCTTCTCATCCAAGATAACATATTCGCAACATTGAGCACTTGTCCACGTCCCACGTGAAATCCAACATCATTCTTGACATCGGTGGACAGCCCTTGGGCGTTTTGGGAAGCGGTCTAAGCCGAGCGACCGATGACACTTGCAGCAGCGGCAATCTGTTAACCTTCAAGAGCGTGTTCGTCATGGTTTCGTGAACCTCGCTCGAATGTGGTACGCCGAGGCTTCGAACTATTCGATGCATTCCCACATATCCTGTGTTCGCTCTTGCCTCCAAATATTTCGGCATGCCTCCAAATATTTCGGCATGACCGCACCGGTGGCGAATGTTGTGCTGCGGTTCCAAAGCTTGACATGGCGATACCACTCTCTCTTGATGGGTCTCAACGCAGTGCGGGCTGCCCGTATTCTCTCTGTGATCTCGTCGGCCATGCTCGCATTGTCATTCGCCCTTGCTTCCAATACTTCGTGTGATCTCACAAGCGGTAACTTGAGTCCAGATTGGGTGCTCTCAAGTTGTGAGCCCTCCTGTCTGAAATGTTTCTTTGGCCTCTTGCGTGAATACTTGCCTCGAAACGTTCGTAGCGCTGCAATCGACCCGAAGCTGGTTTTGAACCCGTGAGCTGGTGCATGGGTGTAACTTATTTCGGCTACGCGAATCACTTCTGATGCTACTGCGACTGCGTCGCTTGCAGTCAAAATTGGCAACTAATCAGCGAATGATGTACAAGCGTGTGCTTGTGTGCTGCTTATCTTCATGTAAGCAGAAAGCGGCTACGGACTCAGGGGGGCCAAACTAAATCTCCAATGTTTGCCTGCTTTCTATATTAACCTGAACACGGGCGAAGAGCGTATTAAAGACGTCGGTCGCGGGCACGGTCCCTGGACGACACACACGACCTGGAAGCGCACATCTAGAAGCGCCTTGTATTCTCCAGAACCCCCCCACCTGGTTCTCTCTCTCCATCTCGATGAAGTGTTCGGGCATACCGACGTTGTCAAGAGGGCCCCCCGCAGCAAACTCGGATTCCAAGCCAGCCTCGAGGAAGGGGGTCATCCTAACCTGCAGGAGCGCATCTTCGAGCCTGTGAAACTCCGAAGGCAAGGACAGGCACAGCTGCTTGAGGGCAGAGTAAAAGGCCGCGTGCAGATCCACGAACCCCGCCCAGCCGAAAACGAACACAAACCGCTGGCCGTCCAGAATTGTCGCACTACCAAAATAGCTCCCTCAAGCCCCCTGCCTGCAAGCCCTCCGCACTGGGTGTTCAGAAGCGCCTTATAAACAAAGGAAAGGGTTATCTGTCTCAACACCTTGTGGCGCAGCATCCCGATGGTGCTGCCCAATAATACGTTTCTCTGGTTTGGCATGACATTGGCAGCACCCTTGCCTTTGTGGGAAGAGACCACCTCACCTGCCTTAAAGCCAATGGGCTCACGCTGCTGCAATCTAGTCTTCAACAACAGAGGGTACAAGAGCTTTGCAACCTCCCTCTGCGCCCCACGGCCAAATTCCCCGCGATCCCGTCAAGACCTGCAGCCTTTCCCGCACTCCTCCTCCACCTCCTCCTCCTCCTCATGTTCCTCCTCCTCCTCCTTCCACCGCCGTGCCGTCGCCGCCTTCACTCTCTCCGCCGCCGCCGACATCCTCCGAACTCCTCGCCCCCCTCCCCCCATCCCTCATCCTGGTGCGCGACCGTCGCCTTGCCACCGCCGCCTCGCGTTCCCTCCCTCCCTCTCCCTGCCCCCCTCCTCCATTGCACCTCTGCCCTGGCACGAGACGATCGGACTCTGGATGAAACTAGCGGCCGTCGGGGACGCCTGTCCCATGGCGGCTGGGAAACTTCTACCCGTACTGTGGCACGTCAGGGTGATGCCTTTCCAACCGCCCCTGGGCAGGCGCCCCCGACAGCGGAAGAGTCCATGCTCTACCGCTTCTCGCCCAGGGATCGACCTAAACAGTGTTTTTCGTTTTCGCTTCGTTCTCGTTGTCCCTCGTTCTGTCTGCAATCCGCCTTGGCTGCAAAACGGCATGGAAACAGCAGCGACCCACGCACGCGCCAACACACCGTTCGGGCCGACCCCTGCCCTTCGCCCGCTGAGGAGAGAAGGGGGCCCGCGGAGCTTCCTCGCCGCGCTCGGGCTCCTCGAGAGCCCCCCGCAGGCCACGGGGCGGTCACAGGGGAGGGCACGGGACAACGAGCTGGCCCCGGGGGAGCGGCCCAGGGCCTGCCCGTTCCCCTGGGGATCCCCCTCGCCTTCCTGGCGGCCATCGTCCCCCCACCCGCCGCCGCCTCGTCCAGATTGACGGTGCCGGAGCCGTCGGTGTCCATCTCCTCGAAGAGGGAGCGCATCTCGGCCAGCCACTTCTCCTTCAGCTCCATCTCCTCGGCGGTGGGGCGCGGGTCGTGGTGGTGGGGGCGGGGGGCGGGGGGGGGGGGGGGCGACGCCGACGTCATAGAGGAGATGAGGGGGGGCGCCAGCGCGCCGAAAGGAAGCAAGTCTTCCCGGCCCGACTGGCTGCGCGGGGCCGCGGGTGGGCGACTCTCAGGAGTATGATCAGAGTCCCTCCTTAGGTACTGCGGCGTTGGAGGCTGTAGCCTGCTCGCCTCGCCAGGAAGAGGACGAGGGCGGGATCGATGATCTGCTGCCTTCTCTGGGCCCCTGGAGGCCCCTGGAGGCCCCTGCAGGCCCCATCCGAGGCCTCCCAGAACCTGACTGGGTGCACGAGGAGGGCCAGAGGAAGAACCACAGCGTGACCCAAGGAACAACGAGCCCCTTCCGAACCCTAAGCGGTCCTTACCTCAGCGTCTTGACTGTATGCCCCAGACGTCCGGCCGCTTCATTCTTTTCGATGCGTGGGCCACCTGTGCGAACAGTCGTCCGGCCCTACTTGGAACCAAGTGGGGGAGGCCATGTCCCCCTGGAAGACTCCAATGTGCACTGCGACTGCGAGATTGAGGAAGCGGAGGAGGCCATGGAGGCGCGATGAGCACGGGGCCCCGCCTCTGTGGAGGGGCCGCCAAAAGTGCCGTCTAGCCCATGCATGAGGGGCAACGATAAAGGGGGAGACTGGCATATAGGGGGGGAAAGTCGACCTGGAATCGGCGATACATAACCAATAGATCGGCGAAGGGCCCCCGATAGCAGATCCGCACGTTCCTGGGCGGAGTGGGGTTTTCAGACCTGTATCGCCGATCAACGGGCGATGAAGGGTCGATACATCCCCATCTATACCTATCCCCCCCAAGACCCCAGACGTCAAATATTTCGAAACATCGACCCCCAGAGGTGTCGACCCATTCCCCGGGACCAGCTTTTCATCCTGAGTCGTTGTTTGACTTCCCTAGGCCTGGTAAGGCTCCGAAAGGCCGAGGATAGAGAAAAACCTTATGTAGTGTGCTTTGTCATGTTGTTGCACTCTCACTTCTGAACAATAATTATTGTTGATCCCCCTCAATGGTGCATACTGTTTTTTCTCAATCGAAGTGTGCCCCTCGACGCTCGCAACTTGTTTTTTGACGGGGGAACTCTTGGTGCTCAAACTGAGCCCCTGGCCCCCCGGATTACAACAACAACGGTTTCCGCCTGAGACTTCCTCTAAATTTGCTCAGGACCCCCGCTCCTGAGACTTCCTCACAATTTACTCAGGATCGGTGCTCCCGCCTGCGACTTCCTCGTAATTTAGCCAGGACCCCGCTCCCATTTGAGACTTCCTCACAATTTACTCAGGAGCGGCGCTCCCGCTTGAGACTTCCTTGCAATTGAATCAAGACTTCCTCGCAATTTAATAAAGACCCCCGCTCCCGCGTGAGAGCCTTTTCGCATTTTGTTCGGGAGTTGCGCTCCGTCTGTGACACCCATGCAATTCATTCGGAAACCGCGCTTTCGACGCTCAGAAAACACGCTGCGCCAAGGACGCCGCTTCAATTTACTACTTAGTATTCGCGCTCTCGCCATACTCAGGCATCCCGCTTGAATGTCCCACCCGCCCGACCCGCCCGTCAGGGGATCGCCCGCCCGTCGTGGGCTCCCGCCCGGGACTTCCTTCAGGAACGGCGCTTTCGCCTAGGACTTCCTCGAACGTTCACGCTCTTGCCTTCCTGATCCTCCTCCCTCCCCGTCCTCCCTCCTCCCTCCTCTCCTCCCTTCTCTCTCCCTCCTCTCTTCCCTCATCATTATGCCTCTCTGCCCTATCCCCTCTCCCTCCTCTCCCTCCTCCCTTCTCCCTCCCCTCTCCTGCCTCCTCCCTCCCTCTTTCTTTCTCTCTCTCTCTCTCTGTCTCTCTCTCCCCTCTCTCTCTCTACCTCCCTTATATGTCGTTATTTCTCTCTCTCTCTCTCTGTCTGCCTCAAATTAACCGCCCCCCTCTTCACTCCTTCTCTCCTGGCGCGTTCCCTATTCCTTCGTCCCTCCCCCTCCCTTCCTCCCACTCTCCCTCGTTCTCCCCCTCCTCTCTTTGCAATTCCCCTCCTCTCTTTGTACGCCCATGAAAGATTGTCCGCCCGTTCAGGTTTGCCCGCCTGTCTAAGTCCGCCGCCCCCCGCAAAGAGAAATGATCTCACCAAAGAGGGTGTGATCGAAGCCGGAAACGGCCGGTATCGAGGGTGTGGGGAACTCGTTTTGAATGACACGCGGGCCAGTAAGAGCGAACAGTCTTAGAATGAGTGTTGTTATTGTTGCTGTTGTTATTGTTGTTGTCGTTGTGGTTGTTGAATATGAATTATTCAACAATTATAATTGTTGGACCCCTTACAAGCGCCCTGGCGCTCTCGCCGAGGCGCCGGCTGCATTTTCAGTGAAAATCAGGTTCACTCTCAAGCGGCTTGGGGGACCGCCAAAACCGGCCCCCCAACAACAACGACAACAACAACAACAATCATTTTACCCGAACGCTCAGTGTTCTCACCAGTGCCAGGGTTTTCATGCGACGCGAGACAATACCCCCACTTCGTGGGGGGGCAGTTCAAGCTCTACCAAATATCCAAACGACTCTTCGCGACCACCCAAACCCAGCTTCCCGCCCTATGACGTTGGGACACTTCACTTCGTGGCGTGCGGACGACCGTGGCTACTACACTGGCGTGGGGTACACACCCACAGAACTTGGTCACTTATTCGGGGCGCGCGTGTGCCCAGCATCCTGCAATTGTGACATACAATACATGACAGACAGACAGAGAGAGAGACAGAGAGCAGACAGAGAGAGAGACAGAGAGAGCGGAGTTGGTCACATTTTTGGGGCAAGTTCCTGAGATCGTCGTGTTTTTTGTTGGTCTTGCGCGCGCGAATGTCCACTTTACTTTTTTTTGCAAGGGAGTATTGAAATTTGATTATGTTAGAACAAGAAAAAGTAGCTCGCGCGAGCTCATGTAACATAAATGTTGAAAAACCATTGGTTTTGTGGGAGTCGGACAGCGCGCGCGGGATGAAATTTGGACATTTTTTTTTGAAAAACCATTGGGTTTTTGATGTTTTTATGTTGAAATCGTTACGAAACCTAAGGTTCTGGAAGGATTTCGTCTTGCGCGCGCGAATGTCCACTTTACCTTATTTTTTGCAAGGGATTATTGAAATTTGATTATGTTAGAACAAGAAAAAGTAGCTCGCGCGAGCTCATGTAACATAAATGTTGAAAAACCATTGGTTTTGTGGGATTCGGACAGCGCGCGCGGAAGGACATTTTGACAATTTTTTCTTAAAAAACCATTGGGTTTTTGATGTTTTTATGTTAAAATCGTTACGAAACCTAAGGTTTTGGAAGGATTTCGTCTTGCGCGCACGAATGTCCACTTTACCTTATTTTTTGCAAGGGATTCTTGCAATTTGATAAGTAGAACAAGAAATTTCATTTTATAGTGTTTTTTGCAAGGGACAGCGGGGGGGAACAAAACAACCGGATCCGGACACAATCCACTTTTCTGAAGCTTTCGCGAAAAAATGATGAAAATGTAGCTGCGGCCTAGGCGCGGCGCAGAGGTCGCGCACCAGGGGTCCCAACAATAATAATTCTTTAGAAGGAACGTCTCAGTGTTCTCACCAGTGCCAGGGTTTTCATGCGACGCGAGACAATACCCCCACTTCGTGGGGGGGCAGTTCAAGCTCTACCAAATATCCAAACGACTCTTCGCGACCACCCAAACCCAGCTTCCCGCCCTATGACGTTGGGACACTTCACTTCGTGGCGTGCGGACGACCGTGGCTACTACACTGGCGTGGGGTACACACCCACAGAACTTGGTCACTTATTCGGGGCGCGCGTGTGCCCAGCATCCTGCAATTGTGACATACAATACATGACACAGACAGACAGAGAGAGAGACAGAGAGCAGACAGAGAGAGAGACAGAGAGAGCGGAGTTGGTCACATTTTTGGGGCAAGTTCCTGAGATCGTCGTGTTTTTTGTTGGTCTTGCGCGCGCGAATGTCCACTTTACTTTTTTTTGCAAGGGAGTATTGAAATTTGATTATGTTAGAACAAGAAAAAGTAGCTCGCGCGAGCTCATGTAACATAAATGTTGAAAAACCATTGGTTTTGTGGGAGTCGGACAGCGCGCGCGGGATGAAATTTGGACATTTTTTTTTGAAAAACCATTGGGTTTTTGATGTTTTTATGTTGAAATCGTTACGAAACCTAAGGTTCTGGAAGGATTTCGTCTTGCGCGCGCGAATGTCCACTTTACCTTATTTTTTGCAAGGGATTATTGAAATTTGATTATGTTAGAACAAGAAAAAGTAGCTCGCGCGAGCTCATGTAACATAAATGTTGAAAAACCATTGGTTTTGTGGGATTCGGACAGCGCGCGCGGAAGGACATTTTGACAATTTTTTCTTAAAAAACCATTGGGTTTTTGATGTTTTTATGTTAAAATCGTTACGAAACCTAAGGTTTTGGAAGGATTTCGTCTTGCGCGCACGAATGTCCACTTTACCTTATTTTTTGCAAGGGATTCTTGCAATTTGATCAAGTAAGAACAAGAATTTTCATTTTCTATTGTTTTTTGCAAGGGAAAACGAGCGTCAACAAAAAACCGGATCCGGAGCTCATCCACTTTTCTGAAGCTTTCGCGAAAAAATGATGAAAATGTAGCTGCGGCCTAGGCGCGGCGCAGAGGTCGCGCACCAGGGGTCCCAACAATAATAATTCTTTAGAAGGAATAATGTTCAACAACAACAACAACAACAATAACAACAACAACAACAACAACAACACCAACACCAACACCAACAACAACAACAACAGCAACAACAACGCTCCCGTTCGAGACTTTCTCCTTTCTTACTCAGGGCCAGTGCTCTTGGTCGCCGCCGAAAGCAGCCGTCTCAACAAAACCAGCGCTCCCGCTCGAGACTTCCTCCCGTTTTACCTTGGACAGACGCGCTACTCT